AAAATTATACATTTCGCTTGGTCACAGACTCGATCTGTTTGACAGACTAAGAGGGGGGACTCTGTGATTTTATAGTGCAACAGACATTGTAGGAATAAGCAGACTGCCTAGAAAGGTTTCAGTTTGTGATGGAACAGAGGACGCACGGATAAAGTGGTTATGTGAATGAAGGCTAAAAGAGTAAAGTACAACTTTGGCGAAGTCTAAGGTCTGTCGACGTAGGGGCCTAATATGGCAAGATCTTCCGGAAGAGGCATCCAGAAAATGTTTCTTCTATGCCAGGTTTGTAGAATGATATTACAGCTGTGTTTCCTGGACTGGGCCGCCTTATACAGCTGCCTTTTGTATTTCTGTTTCTGTCTCCTTGAACCCAGTCGGCCTCGGCATATGGCCGCTCACACTGAGCCTGACATGATTCTATAGTAGACTCTGGTGCAGACACAACACGAGTCAGGAAGCGGTTTAGAATGTTTATTGAGAAGTGTTACGTCTCCTGGCTCAGTCTAGGGGGTGTAAGGGACCAACATAAATGTAGACAGTGAATGACGGAGTCAAAAGGGCATTTAAAGGTTTTATTCTGCCATTTTTTGTGAATAAATTATGGTAAAAGCTTTTAGGGAGAGCCAAAGCCAAAATAACAAACAAAACAACCCTAAAGAAAAAAAAGAAAAGTGGACTTACCTAACTCAATACAAAACCAAAACATACAAACCTACAAAATAACCTACCTAACCACCACATAAACAGGAGAAAACTGGGGTTAAACAAATAGGCAGCTCTCCCGTACAAAAAAAACCATCCAAACAGGTCTACTTAACAGCCCATTAGCTTCTACAAGGATCACAGAGGTAGGTGGCAGACAAAATGGCTGAGAGGCCCTGAAGTACTGCTTCACAGGCCTTAAATAGTCTTTAAGGTGATCTTGATTGGACAGACTCAGGAAGCAGCAGTCAGTCTTAAAGGCGGAGCCTAAAACAGAGCAAGGTGTTAATTGGATGCAAAAACAAAGACATCCAACTTGGGGATGTAACAAGAAGTTTTTACAGAAAGATAGTTTGGCCCGGCATGGTGGTTCGGGGAACTGCGGCTTAGTCTGAAACTGCACAGAGAGAGAGATCTGTTAGATGCTGGCAGGAGGATCTGAGTAATTAAGAGATGATGCTGATTCCTTACAGTTCCTTGGAGAGCGGAGTGGATGGAGGGGAGGTTGGATGAGCTCACTGAGTTTGGCTGAGATGGGGGGCTTCGGCTTGAGAGCTCCAGAGGGTGGACGGGCAGGCGAGCAATCGAAGATGGATCCAGGAGGACTGAGTGGAGAACCGGCTTGGAGACTGCAAGGATTCTAGGAGAGAAGGAGGACAAGGAGGTAAGCTTGAGTCTTAGCAATAAGTTCAGTTTTTGGAGAGCTAGCAGGTAGGTTACCACTATGTGGAATTTTAACCGACTGGCGTCCGTCCCAGGGCATCCACTCCTCTAAATACTGCTCCCTGATTGAGACCAATTAGAACCAGCTGGAGGCTTGTGAGGGCTGGAGTCTCTGAGGAGGAAAAGGTAAGAAAAACCCTAACACAGCACAGCACACAATCCTGTGGGCCCAACATAGCCTGGTTCTGGTGGAGGTTTCTTCCTGTTAAAAGGGAGTTTTTCCTCTCCACTGTCACTACAAGCATGCTTAGTGTGAGGGATTGCATTTGAGTCAATGAGTCGATGCAATCAACTGGTTTTGCTTAGATAGAAAACTTTGATTCAAAAGACTTCATGATCTGGTCAACTGTAAAGTGCCTTGAGATGACGTGTTGTGAATTGGCGCTATAGAAATAAACTGAATTGAATTGAATAGATGGCAGCCATGACACTCCTAGATATGTTAGTGGAAAAAAGCGGGGGTCTGATTCTTAAAAGAGCCTGAATTATGGATTCGACCCCCTCATAGAAATATATTGTAAATAATTAATTACTGTATGTCAGTTTTTTTATGGAAGAGGATTAGAGCCACTAAAAAAAAGAGAAAATTATTGATTTTTTAATTTTATTATAGTTTAATAGGGAAAAAATCTGAATTTTCACAATTCTGTCTTTAATCTCAGAATGCTGACTTTAATCTCAGATTCCTTAATCTTAATGGGCACCATGAAGGAAGAGATGTGGGAGCTCTCAGCTTCACTGAAAAAGATGTGAGTTGTTCGGGAGGGCCAGTAACACATTGGAGGAAAATGACAGAAATATGCCCTGAGATCCAACGATCAGCTGTTGCTCACTGTTCCTTTTGTCCACAGAGAACTAGTGAAGAAAGCCTTTAGCTACGCAGCTCCTTGTGTGTGGAATTTCTTTACAAAGTTACTGGAAGTTGACTGAGTTTTTATCTTTAAATGCTTTTATGTTGAAAGTGAAATAATCTGAAGCAGCCTCAATGATTTGTAGTCTTTTTACTTGATATTTTTTTGTTTTTTTATGTACCTGTCATTTATTTTAATGTATCTCTGCTTCTTATGTAACTTTACTGCCTCTTGGCCAGGACTCCCTTGAAAAAGAGGTTTTTAATCTCAATGGGTTTGCGGGTGATTTAACAAGAGTGATTGCGTAACTGGTGGCAGGTGCAAAACTGTTGGAGACGCCCTATTTAAATGATGTTTTTGCGCGTTTTGTTGTTTTTTAGTTGTAGCAAAGTAGTTTGTAGTTTGTACAAACTACAAACACAGTGACACCCCCACCCCCTCCAAAAAAAAAATAATAATAAAAAAATATGATATATGTATGTATATATATATATATATATATATATATATATATATATATATATATACATATATGTATAAACTTTGGCAACCTTTATTCCCTAAGGTGGTATGTGGCTGAATTTCTACTTCACTGCAGTAAATAAAAAATAAAAAAACTGGTGTTTTGTATTGGTCTGTAGAAAAATGCACATACCAAATGGCTCACAAGAAGTGACTGTGGATGAGATTACTGCGCGTACGCATCCCCGCAGCATTGGCATGTTGCTGCAAAGGCGCAGGGGGGAGGTCGGGTTCTTCGGTAGGGCGTCAGGGCGACATGGCATTTAGAACGTCGGACAGCACTTCTGAAAAACGAGATTGGGAGATCCCAGCTCTCGCTGCAACCGTACGCTGGAATGACCCAGATGCAAAAAAGTGCAATGTTGCAAGGAGTTTTGTGATATCTGGTATTGCGTGGGTCCTCCTTCTGGCCGGCTCCAAATCCATTCGGAGTTCCCCCAACAGCTCCAAAATGTCAATGCTGGATAAACGATATGTTTTGATGATCGTTTCCTCATTCATTCCAAAAATATTCACACGGAGTGAAAAAATGCGTTCCCTGCGTCTCCTTGCTTCATTTCCATGTCTCCTTCTTGCGACAATAACCGCTGCCATGTGTGCGCAATTACACATACAGACCATTTGCACCTTCTATTGAAACGTGTTAAATATAGAGTCAGATACCGTTAGCAAAATTGCTTTCAGGTTTATAAAAATCACTTTGCGAGTGCTAAATTAATATATTTACATGTTCTCCTCCCACAAGACGCAATTTTGCGTGTAAACGCCCCATATTGCATATTCATTGTAGAAAAAGTACTAAATGGATAAGAGGCGCTATTTAGCACGTTTTAAAGACCAAATCCTTTTAGCACGCTGTTGATAGATCAGTTTGTAAATTTTTTAGCGTGCGCAGTGAAATAGCTCACGTTTTTATACACGCAAACCTTTGATAGATCTGGCCCATAGCGCGGCGCCGAGATCTGGTCGGATTCCAAGAGTCCTCGTTATGCTTCCTTAAAATGCGTCCTTCTTTTTGCCCGATTTGAAGGACAGGTCCGATGTATTCTCGGACCTGTCGCCGAACAGTGGTGAAAATTGGAAGTTCAGTTTAATATAATACAACTCTGTGAATAGTTCCGTCTGGGATTAATGAAAATAGTTGTTTAATGGTTATAGAGTCAGATATGTGGCGGTAATGTTTGATTTATCTAAAGGTTTTTATCTCTTACTGAGTAAATGGGTTTAGCTGTAATTTCAGGACAGATTCTAATATATCTGCAGTGTGGGGACTATAAATCTGATAGGAGTTAAATTTTTTTATTGCCGTTTTGCACAATATGCTTTAATAAGTATTTTTTGTTGTTGAATATTAGAGATTTTGCAGATATAATTTTTATACATACATTGTTTAGATTTACTTACTTTATATATTTCTACCAATTTTATAGAATAGAAAAATCCCTTTATTGTCCCACAATGGGCAAATTTACAGCAGCAGAAAGATTATTGAAAATGGTCACACAAATGTGGACCTTAGAAAAATGTCTAAGAATAAAATAATAGGGAAGAGTTCAAATATAAACAATACAATCCTGTAAAGTGTTTTAACAATATAAACTGGAGAATAAATAACCAATATGCAGCTATGGACATTTTAACAGTAATGGATATTTGAAAATAGCAGCAACATGAGAGATGTGCAAAATGACAACAGAATGTTATTTAACTGACTAAGGTTTCCTTTATTACATTTAATTTTATGCACTTTACAATAAAAAATAAATAAATAAACGAAGTTTTGAAAACTTTGGTTTTCATTCTTTTCCTGCTTTGTGTGTCAACTTTCACGGTTGCTATCAACATATCATACGGCGGTAAAACCCGCCGAAGGGTAGACCTGTTTGCATTCACAGTCAAAAAACTTCTGGTCTCCTTATTTTCAAGGATTTCGAAGGATCCAGTCTAGGTAGACAGCGTCCTTGGAGGATGCAGCTCAGGATTTCGAGCAGAGCCTATGTCTCTCGGCTGGCCTGGGAGCGCCTAGGGCTTCTCCCAACAGAGCTGGAGTAGGTGTCTGCGGAGAGGGAAGTCTGGGAGTCTCTGCTTAGTCTGCTGCCCCCACGACCCGGTTCCGGATAAAGCGGGAGAAGACGAGTACGAGTAAAAAAAATTTTTTTTTATTTTTGTGTACAACTACACAAATCGAGTTGTACAAGTTGTTCATCAAAAACTTTAACATTCTCACTTCTTCTATAAATGGTCCAGAACTATTGTTGCAAAATAAGATTTGTATTGTTCAGACTATCATGAAAAGAACAGGTACAGTTTACATATTGGCAATAAAAAAACAAAACAAAAAAACAAATAAAAATAAATCATAGGACCTGTGTATTTACCAGATTTACTACATAACACTTTATCTGTTCTAGTTTCTATGTAAACAGAGCTGTTGATTAATGGCTTTCTCAAAACTTGCCTCAAAAAAAGGACATTAACCCGTGAGTTTCTTATATAATGAGGTGAAGGAGTTTCTAGATGGACATTTTATCAACAATCAAACATGGTAAACACCTCTACTGTTCATTCCTGTGGCATCTAACTGCTGTGACTTATTCAAAAGGCTTCACACCTGTGTGAATTCTCATGTGAGAAGTCAAACTGCTCTTTTGAGTAAATGTACTGTTACACATGGTACAGGAAAAAGGCTTCTCACCAGTGTGAACTCTGATGTGTTTATTAAGATCAGACTTAGAGGTGAACCTTTTTTCACAGGACGGACATTTAAAAGGCTTCACACCCGTGTGAACTCTGATGTGTTTATCGAGATTAGATTTGTTAGTGAAGCTTTTTCCACAGGACAGACATTCAAAAGGTTTCTCACCAGTGTTAACTCTGATGTGTTTATTAAGATCAGACTTAGAGGTGAAACTTTTTCCACAGGACGGACATTTAAAAGGCTTCACACCTGAGTAGGGGTGTAAATAATAATCGTTTTGTATCGATGCATCGATCCAACAGCCGACGATCCGATGCATCGACACGTCCGCAAGAGTATCGATTCATGTTTTTTTTTTCCTCCGGTCTATTTTTATCCATTTTTCTCCTGGGCGTAATTCTCCCTCCCCTGCTGCGGTGCCGCTAAACCTATTTTTCCCCCTACCGCGCTTCCTGGTTATACTCTTACAGCAAATTTGTTGCAGCAAGCTTCACACAGACATTTTTAAATTATGCTCATATTTAAGCGTGGTCGTGCTACACACTGTGGGGCTAGAAAACGGCCGAGGCGGCGAGGAAGTGGGGGCGAGTTTAGTCCGACGACGAAGGGACATGAGGGCAAAAAGAGCGGAGATTCAGCTGGAAAAAGGGTCACAGCGGTCTCACGCACCTCGCTCTTCTAGCGGGTCAAACTTCACGAGTTGTTTTCCGCAATTTCGGTCATAAAAACAAAACAAGCCGGCCTCCTGTCTGCTGCACTGTTTGTGGTCAGCTACAATCTGGGAGAGGAGCAGCGGAGCGTCTCTCAAGTGGGCGGTGACGTCGACACTGAAGCCGCCTTCTTCTTTTTTTTAATGGCGGTTGGCAAACAACTTATAGGTGCATTACCGCCACCTTCCAGAATGGAGTATGGACCAGACAAACTATTATATTCTCCCTAAAATACCGTTCTTCTTAGAAAATTAAAAATACTAACAAAAAATACATCCCCAGATGACCTTTGAAACAATTCCCTTATATTTAGTTTATTTTTATTCCCGTCTAACTCTCTAAGCAACATCTCTCTTTCCTAAGTATATTTATTACATTCTAAAAAAATATGTTGGACAGTTTCTCTGGAGCCAAGGTATAGCATTGAACTCATTACACTGATATTGTGCAGTATTTTTGCAGTATTTTTTGATGCAATTCTTTTCTACTTCTGTTATTTGCTGTTGTTTCTAAAGAAAATGCATAATGATATTACAGCTTTCATTGATTTATTTCAAACTTGAAACTTTGTTTAGCCTGTAAGGTGTAAAAATAATAATAAAAAAAAAAAAACGATTAATCGAATCGAATTGTGGTGTATTCTTGAGTATCGAAAATAATCGAATCGTTGGGTCAGGAAATCGATACTGAATCGAATCGCCATGATGGATGTGATTTACACCCCTACACCTGAGTGAATTGTGATGTGTCTATCAAGATTAAATTTGTTAGTGAAGCTTTTTCCACAGGACAGACATTCAAAAGGTTTCTCACCAGTATGAACTCTGATGTGTTTATCGAGATTAAATTTGTTAGTGAAGCTTTTTCCACAGGACAGACATTCAAAAGGCTTCTCACCAGTGTGAACTCTGATGTGTTTATTAAGATCAGACTTAGAGGTGAAACTTTTTTCACAGGACGGACATTTAAAAGGCTTCACACCCGTGTGAACTCTGATGTGTGTATCGAGATTAGATTTGTTAGTGAAGCTTTTTCCACAGTACAGACATTCAAAAGGCTTCTCACCAGTATGAACTCTGATGTGTGTATCGAGATTAGATTTGTTAGTGAAGCTTTTTCCACAGGACACACATTGAAAAGGTTTCTCACCAGTGTGAACTCTGATGTGTTTATTAAGATCAGACTCAGAGGTGAAACTTTTTCCACAGGACGGACATTTAAAAGGCTTCACACCCGTGTGAATTGTGATGTGCCTATCAAGATGAGATTTGACAGTGAAGCTTTTTCCACAGGTCAGACATGCAAAAGGCTTCACACCTGTGTGAATTCTCATGTGAGAAGTCAAATTACCCTTTTGATTAAATTTATTGTTACAAATGTTACAGGAAAAAGGCTTCTCAACAGCGTGAATTCTGATGTGTGTATCAAGATTAGATTTCTGAGTGAAACTTTTTCCACAGGACAGACATTCAAAAGGTTTCTCACCAGTGTGAACTCTGATGTGTTTATCAAGATTAGATTTGTTAGTGAAGCTTTTTCCACAGGACAAACATTCAAAAGGTTTCTCACCAGTGTGAATTCTGATGTGAGATGTCAAATCACTCTTTCGAGTAAAATTCTTGTTACAAATGCTACAAGAAAAAGGCTTCTCACCAGTGTGAATTCTGATGTGAGAAGTCAAATCACTCTTTCGAGTAAAATTCTTGTTACAAATGCTACAAGAAAAAGGCTTCTCACCAGTGTGAATTATCATATGTGTATCAAGTCTAGATTTCTTTGTGAAAAATTTTTTCCCCGGACAGACAATAAAAATTTTGACCTGTGTGAGTTTTTC